CAAGGATTGTTTATAAATATTATCGTCTAGGACGTAACGGCGTGTAGTTCATTAGAATTCAACCGACGTTTCGGAAGAAAGCACTGCCTCCATTTTAAGGGTTGAAGAGTAAATACAAAAGCAGACAGAAAGCAGGATTTACTGTGCGGCACTGAATGTGAAAGTAGCATATTCATGCGAAACATCTGTGGACTTTAACCAACTATATGACGTTAAGCCCAGAAGATGACAAACTTCACAGTCACGGTTGTGAAGGTTGTGAAACCCTCAGATATAGCAGGGGTAGTTAGGAAATTGGGTAGGTTGCTTACCGTTTCACACATGACACTGCAGACAGCAGCACGATCGCCACAAGCGCTGCGCTCAGGAACTGCAAACACAAACAGGTAAAACAGGTAAATCACTTGATAAAAGAGGATGTGGGCTGAATACAGCCCACACTTGTTGCCATGGACGCCGGGGCGGGGGGAGATAAATTGACTTCGGATGGGTTGTCTTGTTTTCCTGTGGGATCATGAACTTGTTTCCGATCCTAAGTAAACTGCAGATTCAACTTGTGTGACTCCTCGACCTGTTTTACAATGAAGTGTGTAGTTGGCTGCATGTTTCCAGTCGGCTCCTCTCCTCTTTCAGTCTTCCGAGAAGATCCCACAAAATTTTCTGATGTTTCGTAATTATGAATAACAGTGAGGTCATACGGAGTTCTTGTCTTATGTCTTCATTGCCTTTCCTGTGTAGGCACTGTTCTTATCAGCGAGGTTTGTATGTAAATCATTTTTGGAATTCTGTTTTCTTGCATTCTCTCAAGAGGTTATCTCGAATTTACCTAACTGTACGCCATCAATTGTGTTTCTAGTTTTCAGTCTGATTCCTATTTGCCTCATCATACGAGTATTCATAACCTGTTCCTTAAAGACATTATAATATCTGTAAGATCTGAGGTTTTCACGGCGCGACATCCCAGAAGACTACATTCTTTATATAATATCCGTAAGATCTGAAGTTTTCACGGCGCGACATCCCAGAAGACTACATTCTTTATATAATATCCGTAAGATCTGAAGTTTTCACGGCGCGACATCCCAGAAGACTACATTCTTTATATAATATCCGTAAGATTTGAGGTTCTCACGGCGCGACATCCCAGAAGACGACATTCTTTATATAATATCTGCATCAGAGGTATACAAATTGCCAAGATTACTAGCGAGAAGATGTCACTGTAACTGAATGTTCCTATAGGGTCTATGGGATCACGGCAGAAATTTCTACAGTTGCTTACGTTTAAATGAGATGATTTTCATTAATCTACAATTTAAAGCAAAGCGTGAGGGAAATGTTACTACCTTCAATTATAGAAACATGCTTAATGGAAATATGATCACTGGGCTCAGAAATCCTGGGTTTTCGGATTTTGTCCATCGTCCGGTATTCTAAAAAAATATAAAATTATCCCTGTAACAGGCCGTGGAGGCCCATAGGGTTGCGAGACGTCGAGGCTCCCACATTTTCTAGACAATCGGCTGACAGATGGCGGTAAGGTTGTCAACCTTATGCGCCTGCCACGCTTTACCCCCAGAAAAATCCCCGGTACTTATTTCTCTTACAGGCTGAGTCGACCCCAAGGCTATAGTGCCGCTGGATAGATTAGATGAATTGAAAAATCCGATAACCTCATCGGGAATCGAATCCGGAATCTTCCATCTTTTAGCATAGTGCCTCAACCTACTATGCTACCGTGTGCCCCCGTCCAGTGTTCTAGAACATACAAAACACAACATTTCGGAAAATGGATTTGTTTCTGCAATAAGGTGTTTCCACCTCACCTGACGGCGGAAACAGGTCCAGTTTCCAAACATTGCGTAATTTTCTAGAATACCGGAAGATGGACAAAGTCCGACCGAGAAACCAGTAATTCTGAGTATTATACACCAATGTCAGAACCCTTTAGAATGTACATGATCACTGGACGTCAATACATAAGTAATTAAGAACGATCTACCATTCGCCATTTTGTTGTGCTACTTATTTTCCGAGAATTCAAAGTGAGAGATGGCTGCAGCACAGAACAGTAACAGCGCGCAAAACTCAACGTTGAATTTACAGAAAAAGATAGGAAGAAATTCGTCTCAAGACTGGGAAAGGCTTGCAACAAAGACACTTACTTTTGTTATGAAAATACCTGGTAACCGCACAAGAGGTAACTGGTGGCCACGGTTTAGAATCGCTGTTCTGAGATATAAACAGTTGAATCGTCTGCATAAGCCTCGCAAGAAAACACGGAACTTTAAATTCTTTTTTTTTTATTGCTAGTGGGGTGGGACTAAGTCCCTTGTACTGCGGCCACTTCTGGCCTATTGTACCAGCCCAGATGATGGGTGAGGGTGATTGTGGAGCAATTGGGGGAATGAAGAATGGCAGGGGAAACCGAAGTACTCGGAGGAAACCTGCCCCAGCGCCACTTTGTCCACCACAAATCCCACTTGACCAGACCAGGGATCAACCCCAGGCCGCGGCGATGGGAAACCAGCGACTAACCGCTTGAGCTATGGCGCGGCCTAACTTTAAATTATTACTCATTAGCACTTCGCTTTCTCGCAAAGGCGCCGTTAGAGAGTAAAGTCAGGCAGTTGCTTACCTTGCGCGAACGATCCATATTGAGACTGATGGAAGTGAGCGGGAAGGCAGCTCTAAAGCACTGTCTGAACTCTGTTCCGTTCTGTTGCAAAATGAACTAAAACGCGACCATAAAAGTAATTTCTCTCTCTTAATATCGTGCTTTTCTGGACTACTGACGTTGAGAAATGCAAAATCTCTCCAGTCCGAAACTGATTCGGTTGATTTCACTCAATTCATTACCAGGGAAGAGCGTTAAGTTCTCTTCGAAAGAAACGTAAACTTCATAGTTGTTTACAGAACAGCGAAGGTTATGAGTTCCTTAAGAAACTTCAATTGCTCTACGAACTTAATAATCGTTCATTGCAGGCGGATCAGACTCTATTTTCTTAGTAATCCATTGATGAACTTTTTATAACAAATTTCATCGCTAGTGTTGACACCCACGATGGGGAACAGCTGTCTACGTTCTGCATTATTTCACACTTGTCATATTTGGATTAATGCAAAGGACATTTTTGCAATAATTGTTATCTCTAAATGAACCTATATTGCATTTTCACGTTTTACGTGAATGTTTACCAATTTATTTTGGCCATGGAACTCGTAATAACATCCATAGATGTGAAGCTAAAAAATCTAGACCACAAATAAGCAATAATAATAATAATAATAATAATAATAAATGTTAAACAATGATATTAAATTAATATTTTATTTGATTGAACATATTTAGACATTGAAAATATTGAGCTTATTTGCATTTTCCAATGCGAGAAGTGTTTCTCATTTCTCTTCACACATCATTTTTATGTTTTGCTTGATATTGGGATATTTAATTCTCAATTCTGGCATATCATGTTGTTATTTATATAATGAGGTGGGAGGATCAGTAGTGTAACAGACTTAATTCACGATTCCTAAATATTATTTATATTATAATTATTTACAATAAATTTCTTTACAATGGATGGCTTGTACGTAATTCCTAGAACTTAACCTAGTATTCACCTAAAGGAATGGGCCTTGCCATGGTGTAGGGAAGAGCCTCATCTTCCGTCACTGTTAAAAGCAAAAAGGAATAAGAAGAGGCAAATAATCGCCTCCTTCAGCCCAGTTTGTGGAGCAACTGACGTTCGTGGGCAGTGGAGCAGTGCTACAAACCGGAGAGTATCGATGCGCTGCATTACATACGTGGAGTTGAATCTCGACGAAAAATATTCACAACCATAAATATATGTAAGAAATGTAAGATAAAACAAAAATTATGAAATAGAGTACATCTTCTTCAGTTAATGCAGATAATGTAACAACTGGGAACGCAGGCATAGTTGGAAGGATAATGTTGGAACATAACCTGAACTTGCTGGGTACGCTGATGTGGACAAGATCCGTGTGGATGTCGATAGGATCCAGTAGCGAGCTCTTGTTAGTACAACTGCACCCTGCGCCCGCAAAAGGCGCAGAAATTCTTAACTAGTTGAGCGGCTCTTAGCTTCTGATAGAGGATTCCTCCATGGAGGTAACTGATTAGTTATTTATACTGATGCCACGGAAAGCTGTCCATGGGATAGTGGGGATGTTTGATCCAAGCCTCTGAGTTCTGTTACATCCCCTCCTCTCCTCTGTGGTCTATAGCAAGTCTAGCTCGAAGTGCTTGCTGCTAGTCAATGGTGGCACGTGATGAGCACTATATCGTGTGAGCAAAATGTAGACAGCCGAATGGGAATGCAAGGAGATAGGCCTGAGTGGGGGGCGTTAACAGCTCAAGGGAAATCTAGAGCTGCTCCCTGTGGCCTCTATGTGTACTGAGTGAGTACCCCTTCAGAGACAGATGAGCACACGGATATGATTAACGTTTGGTTCGGTTACGAGAAATTTACCGTACAGCTCCATACATAACTCGAAGAACATGCAGAGCTCATGACATTTCTAAGTGAGGGATGAGGATGGCTGCGGAGTTGTTGGTTCTTATTTATTCAATGACGCATTTGGAACTGCCCAGGTTATGTGAAATCGCCTGAGATGAGAAGGTGAAAATGAACGTTTAGTAGATAAGGATGTGGAAGGAGACGATTGTGGTATATTTGAAGGTTATAACCTGGAAGTTGACTGGAGGGCTGAGAAAAACTGCGGAAATTCATGGTGACAGTAGCAGGTAGGTGGGATCATAAGGAGTTGAGAGGAACAGACATTAGTTGACATTCGACGGGAAATGCTGAGTATAACCACAATATGGAGCAAAATTTGGGTCGAGATTCAAGAAAGATGCCTTTCCAGTAGGATACAACATACTTGTCATATCCACATCTGCTCCTTTTAAAAATGTTTTATTTTTCTGTGTGATAAGTAAGAGAGACAGTCATCTTCAAACAGAAACAACAGGAACACTTGGATGAGTGGCGTGATACAGAGTAGACAGCGCTATGGCGGAGTTAAGAAGGTAACCTGCAACAGACAATTGGTGCATTAGTTTCCGACTCGTGACGTAATATTCGTCCAAGATTGATGAAGTGGGACAGGCATGTAGCTAGCACTCACGAACTGAGAAGTACATGTAACTAGAAGGGCACAAACCTCAAGGGAAGAAGCTACTGGGAAGACTTAAGCGCGGATGGGACGATAATATTAAAATGTACTTTACAGAGTCAAGGGTGCCACGGTGTGAACCGGATCCAGTGACTTACCTACCTACTACTCGGCGCTACAGCCCTGAGTGAGCCTTGGTCTCCTCTACAACCAGTCTCCACAACCAGTGCGTGCTGCCACAGGAATGGACCCACGCATGATGACCCGAGGCTGGTTGTTAGGTTTCTGAACAAAATTCTTTTTACAGGATGAGGTTGTTAGCCTCATGTCCAGCTCCCAACCTGTAGGACTAGGGTATCTCTCTTATTCTGGACTCTACCTCTGACTTTTCCGGCATGGGTGACCCTACCAGTAGTCAAACTACCACTGCCATAGCTCTCCAGGTCACAGAGTCACGTGTAAGTCCTACCACCACGACAAGGTCGAGACGCCTTTCGGGGGTACCCAGTGACTTGGGAAACTGAAATATTCAGGTATTATAAAAAAAGGAAGACGATTTCTTTGATAAATTAGGCGACTCTCAACTCCTGGAAGGGAATCCTGGGCCGTGTGCTCTGCTGGTTATAAAAGGACAATTTTCTGACAACAAATTCTTCCCCTTCCGGTTTGCACACCCACATCCTGAGATTTCATACGAAGACAACAGAAAGTCCACTTATTTTCGCAAAAGTGTGAAGCTGGCCAGCATAACACTGATGCTTGCAGTATGAATATAGTGATAATCTAGAATATGACACGTTACAATATGTTCTTACAGTGAAACAGATGACACAACTAGATCTACTCGAACTCCAGTTTCAGACCTTGGCCTATTTATAATCGAGCCCTATCTGCATCAGCTTACAGTGTGTTCACATACATACATGCGAGTATAAGCCTATATCCAATCTTATTCAGGTCTTCTTGCTTACAAATTAAAGTAACTCAGAATTTTATTCTTTTTCCAGATTTTTAGCAGCGTTGGTTATGAAATCTCTATATTCTGGGATATAAAGCCCTTGTAGTCCGCAGACAATCAACCGATGTTTTGGAGGAACATGTCGCCTTCATCTTTATGGACGAAGATTGTTGTTTTTTTGTTTGGCTCTCCCGCCAGAACCATAAGTTCAGCCAGTCCTGCTTCATCTTCAGACATCCCCTTCCTGAGATGCATGAAAGTCAGTAGGACACTGTCCTTCCAGTTCGAAAGTTCACCTTTTTTGGTGGTGATATGCCCTGTGGCACAAGGTGTCAGTTCTATTTACGGAAAAATAAAACAAAAGGAAGTAGAAATTTTTATCAGATTCTGCATCTAGAAACGCTATAGAAGAAAACATTCGCAGAAAGGCAACTCTAAAATGTGGGGGGCGGAAAGAAATGGTAAAAGGAAAGTTGCAAAACGACCCCTGACCGATGAAACTGTTTCCTCCATGTTATTATTGTGTTCCATCAGTTAAGAAACCAACATATGCTGCGCTGAGAAACTGCGCTCGGTGTCACAGATGTAAAGAACCGTAGCAAGCCAGTTGACATGCGACTATTATTAAACTTAAATGTCCTTAATTTATATCACTTTAATAACATGGACTCCTGGCCGAAGTGTTAGAAAAGAGAATTCGACTGTAAGTGAAAACCTATAATAAAGAACACTGTCTCTTAGAATATAACGCCGTGTACTCCGTTTTAAATCAACCGATGCTTAGGAGGAATGTATCGCCTCCATCTTCAGGGTGAAATAAGCCGAGCAAAATGCCAGGAAGAGCAGTTATTGCGTCGGCGACAGAGGAACGTTGTTAGTCACATTGATACTTACTTATAGTAAATCGATTCTTCAAACCCAGCCGTCGTAATGGTGAGGGTAGTGGCTCTTGATGTACACGGGAACCTTCTTCACGTGGTGGTGGTGGACTGTGTGCACCTCATACGGCACGTGTATGATGTAATGTTCGCTGTAACATATTCAGTTCAACAGCACAATAGTCATGTACATTTACACATAATAAAACCTGCCTAATATGGAACTTCTGGCGAAAGGAAACGGAACGTAGAAAGACTGACGCCTGGCCACTGACATGTCTCCCTCTGGGCTGCTACACGACGTGCTGGGAGAATAAGATTGCTAAGCTCCTACTAAGTCATCCAGGACAGGCCGAAGATTATGGCCAGATGACATGCAGACCTTTCGTCCTGCAGGGCGAGATTGAGCGTCTCGCCTCGGAAGACGGTGGAGGCCTACATACGAAACCTAACGCAGGACTGGCTGGCGACCCCACGGGCAGCAGTTACAGGAGCCATGAGTTACAGATTGCTACTCGAAATGCGGTCACTTTGTTCAGGAGAGAAGCCCTGACACAAACCTGAAATTCAGTAAGGGGGCCAAGGTTATTAGAGCGCTCTAAAGCCAGAGAATTTTATGCACTGTAATTGAAAACGGAGCACACAGTAGCGTAGTTGGTTGAGGGGCTATGCTACAAGCCGGAAGGTCATGGATTCAAGTCCCGATGAGGTCATTGGATTTTTTTTTTTCAATTGACCAAATTCTTCCAGCCGCACTATGGCCCTGGGGTCGACTCAGCCTCTCACAGAAATGAGTACCAGGAATTAATTAAATAATTTTCCTGGGGAGTAAAGCGTGGCCGGCCTGTAAGGCTGACCTTACCTCCATCTTTGAGCCGATTGTCTAGAAAATGTGGGACCCTCAATGTCTCACAACCCTATGGGCCTTCACGGCCTGGTACAGGGATAGCTTTACTTTACTTTTTGTAATTGAAAACCCTCACTGACAGAGACTTTCAGCATGTTACTACAATTACATATGCAGTCCAACTTCTATCTGCAGTACTGTTACGTCACGAACTTCTCCGATATCTTCAGTCCCTTTCTGATTGCTGACAGTGGCGCGAGATATATGCGTCATCAGCTTCAGTCATCTTCATATTTTTTTCATACTTTTTTATGTTCGCTTCTGTATGTTCTCGTTAAATTATATAGTTCTCTTCCCAAGGACTTCTTTATTGTGTCATACACTCTCACTAATATTATTAGTTTACTGCCCCTCATTACTGATTTAGACTTAAGCTATTCAGGCACGTTAGTTTAACTGAATATTTTGTAGTATCGGATTGGAGGGAAAGATGGCAGTGAGTGGTGAAAACGTAAGGACTCTGGAGGCCAGTAGCAGTATGTTTCGAGGTATTATTGTAGTATCCGTCTGAGAAACTGAAGAAAATTACGAAAGACGTCGGTCAGGGCAACTTGAGACTGGTCGAAATTCGAAACATGAGCCTACTGTTTCCGCTACACCAGTCTGTCTGTAAGACAACTTAAGAATTTTATGTTCTCTTGGTTTTAATATCTCTGTATAGGTTAGTCATTGTTTGCAGAAAATAATAATGATCTCTGATACTGTGCCTCTAGGAAAGGCCAGACATATCTCCGACAAAACTTCATGTACTACATCGTACATTTGGAGAGTGAGGAACCATCTTCTTAATATCATCACATGGTGTAAATGCTGAGAGAATTTCAAACACGGGGAACAGTTTGAAAAGTGTAACTACGTTGTGCGTTCAAGTTCTAAGGTCTCCGATTTTTTTTTTCTCGCACAATAATCATACAAAAAAAATTTTAAACTTCTGTCACTTTTCAAGTAATCTCCCTGCAGCCGTACACATTTTTCACAACGTCGACACCATGATTCCATGGCCGCTGCGAACGCTTCTGCAGGAGTCTGTTTTGACCACTGGAAAATCGCTGATGCAATAGCGGCACGACTGGTGAATGTGCGACCACGGAGAGTGTCTTTCATCATTGGGAAAAGCCAAAAATCGCTAGGAGCCAGGTCAGGTGAGTAGGGAGCATGAGGAACCACTTCAAGGTTGTTTTCACGAAGAAACTGCTGCGTCGCATAGGCCCGATGCGCTGGTGCATTGTCCTGGTGAAAGAGCACACGTGCAGCCTTTTCCGGCCGTTTTTATCGCAGTGCTGGAAGGAGCTTGTTCTTCAAAACATCTTGGTAGGATGCACCTGTCATCGTAGTGCTCTTTGGAATGCAATGAGTAAGGATTACGCTATCGCTGTCCCAAAACATGGCCACCATCATTTTTTCAGCACTGGCACTTACCTGAATTTTTTTTTGGTGGCGGTGAGTCTGTGTGCTTCCATTGAGCTGACTAGCGCTTCGTTCCAAGATTGAAAAGCGGCATCCATGTCTCATCCATTGTCACAATTGATGAAAAGAAAGTCCCATTCATGCCTTCATCACGTGTCAACATCGCCTGGCAAATTGCCATGCGCGCAGCCTTGTGGTCGTCCGTCAGCATTCGTGGCACCCACCTGGAGGACACTTTCCGAATTCGCAGGTCCTCATGCAGGATTGTGTGCACAGATCCCACGGAAACGCCAACTTTGGAGGCGATATTTTCCACACTCAATCTGCGATCCTCCAAAACAACTTTCTCAACTCGCTCGACCATGTTGTCAGACCGGCTGGTGCGAGGCCGAGATTGTTTTGGTTCGTTTTCACACGACGTTCGGCCTTCTTTGAACTGTCGCACCCACGAACGCACATTTTTCACATTCATGGAACCATCACCACATGTCTCACTCAACTGGCGATGAATTTCAATGGGTGTCGCACCACGCAAGTGGAGAAAACGAATGATTACTCGCTGTTCTTGTAACGAAAACGTCGCCATTTTAGGTATCAAAAACACTCCTCATGCTCGCCGCCACCACTACAGTTCTGTATGCCATACAGTGCTGCCATCTCTGCCACGCATTCACAAAGAGTGCACACGTATTTTAAACTAAACCGCATGTGTCTTATCTGCTCCCAGTCCTGAGAAAAAAATCGGATACCTTAGAACTTGAACGTCCCTCGTATCTACGTAAGGAAGGCAAAAATTATCCTCACTCTTGTTATTCCGATCCATATATAGAAAAGTAGGGGTTGAACAAGTACTTAATTTTTCTACATAGTGTCCTCCCTTTTCGATGCACTTGGTCCAGTGGTCCAAAACCTTGCATATTCCCTCCACGAAGAAGATTTTCTGTTGGTCGCGTAACCATTTATGCACCGCTTCCCCCACTTATTTGTCCGTAGAAAATCAAAAACCTTGTAAAACATCTTTGAGCGGTCCAAAAAAATGATAGTCGGAAAGGGCGAGATCTGGGCTGTAGGTAGGGTGTTCCAGCACCTCGAAACACACATTGTTAATGGTTTCAACGGTCTGGCCGTCCTTGTGTGAGTGTTCATTGTCATGCAACAACAACACTTTCTTCGACAATAGGTCTCGTCATTTGGTGCGAATTGCTGGCTTCAGATTGTTGGCCAGCAAATCGCTGTATCTTGCACCGTTGACTGTACATCTTTTTTCCAGGTAGTCTTCCAGTATAGGCCTTTTTGAGTCCCAAAAAAACGGTTAGCATCACCTTTCCCACGAAAGACTGAGTCTTGAATTTCATCTTCGTTTGCGATCCCGGGTGTTTCCACGCCATACTCTGGCTTTTGGATTCTGGCTCATAGTGATGAACCCACATATGAATTTCAGCCCCTGACACACCTTCCAATCAGAGAAATCGGATCACTATTCTTTTTCAATCAGTGGTGCACACTGCTAGCAGAGCGGCCATGTTTACACTGTCACAGCATAAAGGAAAATGATGCGATCAAGGTAAAACTTCGATCAAGTGACCACAGTAGTACCAACTCTAACAATGCATGCGTAGAAGGCAGTGTGACAAACCTAAAGATGTGTTATGAAGAAAGTTCGGATAATTTCCGACTTACTTTTCCCATTAAAATTACCACATGATCAGGCGCTTCTCCCCAGAGTAACCGCAGATCGGGGTATAGACAGAAGATTGAAAACGTATTAGTTTTAACCTATGATTGTAAAATGAGTATATTTTACGTAATATCAGTCTGTTTTTCGAAATACGTCTTTGCGTATTTACACGTAGAAGTCGAGTACTGCATTTAGAATGTGATACGTGACAAAATCCAACAGGCTTTATTTCGTTCGTAAAGGTTCAGAGTGGCTTGGACAAGTTTTTCAAATAAGACATCACAAGTGGGATATGTGGAATAAATATGTTGACAGGCTGTGACCAACTTCAGGTGACTAGTAACGCCAATCACAACGTTCAAAAGTTTGGTACTAACGGTGAGCATAGGAGCTCCCGGATTCCTAATTAGTGCAAGGGTAATTTTCAAGAATACAAATGTTGCAATGTGAATAACACACGACTGAATCGGCATTCATAAAGGTTGGTTTACTGTACGAAGCTGTGCTTGAGACATACCGTCTGCAGTAAAAGGCAAATTTCCCCTATGACTGACTAATTAAGCGCTGCGCCATGAAGGCGTATGGGGAAGTGAATGTGTGAATCTACGTACTCTCGATCTCGGCAGTAGCTAGAGGTCAGCTTCACGCCCCTGTCGCTTTAACTTCTGGGAAAGAGACCTCGGCAATCATTAGAGAGGAGTTTGGGTGGGTCCCAGAACCGGTCTGGACGACGTGGAGGAGAGAAAAATCTTTCCCCTACCGGGACTCGAACTCCGACCCCTTCCGCCGTCTAGCCCTTTATATATATTGGTACACGAAATAAATATCCGTACAAGCAACGTCATTATGTAGTTTGTTAAATATTAATCATTACACCTTTCAAAAACAGTACCCGATATTTTACAGTCCCTGCTGATTTCTGATTAATCATTCATGTCTTAATACGGGATAAAACATTTGACGAAGACAATTTAATCTCTTAAGTGAAATTTAAAATAATTGATTATGACGATAGCTCACTCATGCTGCAATGCATGTTTTGATAATGTCGGTTTTGTCATGCGAAACATAAAATTCTTAATGACGATTTAATTATCCAAGCGACGATAAAACCGCTTAATAAAGACGATATGAAATTTGAAATTTCTGATGACATAATCTTTGGTGTGACAATTAAAATTCTTTGTCACGATTAATTTTTCGCTGGATAATTTCGAATATACTATGAAGACACCTACGCGATACTTGAAATTACAGATGAGTATAACCCAATAATTCGCGTTATAATTCAAGGTCCCTGGTGATGACGATTTCATAATTTAAAAGACGTTTAAAGTAGCGGATGATGACCAGCGATTTGTTCACAATAGCATCATGCGTGTCGCCTATAATGTTTTTGCTTGTTATGTAATTCTGTTTACTAATAAATACGCCATTTCTCGGCTACAGCTTCGAAATTTAAATCATATGCAGTATGAAAGATGGCAATTTGCCCCTGCATTACAGATTGCTTAAATATTATTAGTAACTCACTGTGTTCCGCCGGAACCTCCTGGTTCTGGTATCGGACTGCACAGTGCCGTGACGAACAGGAACAGGGTGCAAAGAAACTGCAACAGAAAGCAATGTTCTTTAGTTGTTTCTACTGTGACGGAATATGACCACTTTCTAGGCAACGGCTAGGTAAACACTGCCTAAAAGCCGGAATAATAGTAGAAGCGGGAGTCAATTTGCTAGGCAACGGTTAGCTAGCACCTGTTTTCGCGTCAACGAGTATTAACAAAGGCATTCTCGTGATAACACAGAAGAACAGAGGAATTGTTAGACTTCTATTCTGGCCGCCTGGCAGCTATAAGAGAAAGTCCATTTGTGCATTGAGTCAGCCCTAGATTAGTTAGAGATTAGTGAGATATTCTTCACAGAGATTCATCAAACAGACCTCGTTCAGAAGGAGTTCAATATGTGAGCTGTTATAATTGACTATAATTGTAAATCCAGAACCCATTATTATTAGTCACGCAACCCCCGAATGCGTGATCATTTGATTTATACAAGTGTGCCAGCTACAATAACCACACTTCACGTATAGAAGAAACGGCGGGTCTGGCGAATTTTGGTCCATGTCGATTATAAAACCTGTAATTCATAACTAACATAGAACTGAAATGTAATATATTATTTTAGAAGAATTCTTCTTCTTCTTCATGCATTTGGCCACGCGTGGACTGTTTCGTCCTCTTGAAGAGTATGTTAGTTCTTAGTTATTCGAACTTAAGTGTGGGCGCCCTGCATTTCGTTGCCGTTTTGGGTTTAATGTTAAAATTTTCTTCAAAATTTGTATGCCTTTCATTCACAGAACGTGAGCTGAATTATAGAATGTTATTACTTAGGTTAAGTATGTTCACTTGTCCTTCCAATTTTAGTGTCTGTCATTCCTTGTGTAGCTCGCTACACTTCTCAAATATTTAATTTCTGCAGTTTCAATTTTTTTGTTCCTGTCTTTCTCGTATAGCCCAAATTTGCGCATTTGGTTATATATATTTATTTTTATTTCTGGGTCCCTGTTTTGATACTATAATTGTGTACCCTAAGCAAACAAACTAGGCCTAATTACTTGTTCAGTTATGTGATTATGGTAGATCCAACGATAAAATCAATAAGTAAGATAGAATCTATAGGTTAGTAAAGTCTAGAATGTGATATATTTGTAGCGAAGTAAAGGGGAAGTTGGCGAATGAGTTTTTCACAAGGCGGTTCACAACGTAATGCATTAATTCAGGAACTTATGTTGGAAGTTATTCCCAGTCGGTATTTTCTCAGTACAGGCCCGTTTCCCAGCCGTTGTGGGACACTGGAAGTTGTTACACAGTGGTTTTGTTCAAAGTCACGTTAGTGTCACGCGTATTAGTGATTTGTAGACGGGGTTTGGATTGTTGAATCGATTTATTAGATACCCACAAGACGTAAGCACAAGTCATTATAACACTCTGAGGATTACTGTAACTATGACACACAAAATAAAGTCCTCAACGTCTACTTACTAGTTAACCCTCAATCCTCTGGATTCTACATCTCGGCCTGAGCTGAGTTCAAGCGGACCGGAGACAGAACATCAGGTATAGCAGTTCTTTCTTTTGTTATTCGCGGTTTCCATGAACACGTTTCAAATCGCCGTTATAACGGAAACGAGTTTCAACAAGCCGTTGCCTAGCAATGGCCGTCTTTTATGACTTCAGCATTCCGGTTTTTAGACGTCATGTCACAATGGTTTTATGTTGGTAGCAATGCATATTGGCAGCTGTAGACCTCAGATTTCTGCCTGGGGGGGCCATGAAATTTGTTTAATGTACCGGCAAATAGTGGAAACACAGGACAAACTTGTTGATCTCTCTGAATGCTGCAGTCGCTATAATGTAGGTCACCAATCACAGTGAACTCATGCAACCTACACTTCAGATTCATGCACGGGCTAGGATATCTACTGAGACTGAGTGTGGTCATTTTGAACTGTTACTGTAAATTCAGAAAATTACACACTCTATAAATACTTCATTTATTTTTAACATTCCGTTAATGGTAAATCAGCCGGTCATAGTGGCCGCGCGGTCTAAGGCATGAACTGTCTTCGCCCGCTCGAACATTGGGATCGTCGGTTCGAATCCCACTCGAGGAATGGATGTTTGTGTGTAGGTAGCAGCCTTGCGACGGGCTGATCCCCCGCCAAAGGAGTCCTACCGACTGTTTTAGGATTAAGAAACTGAAGTGAAACAGAGTTTCACGGATAACTCTGCTCCAAAGTGGGAACAACAGGAGNAGGGGGAGGGGGGGGGGGGGAGGATGGTAAACCCGCAACCGTTGAGACCCAGACGTATGTTCATACAGCGGTTCTGACTGGGAATGACTTCAGGTAAAGGCTCCTGAATTTAACTCCTGAAGCCGTGAATCACTCTGTATACTTGTGCTAGCATGAAGTCCTTTGAAATTTTAAAGATAAATTGTTAATAACGAACTACCTCAAAGATATTTCATCTCAGGAATTTCAGTTTCTTCAAATGCAGCTAACTTTAATACTTACAGTAAGGTAACGAACTTGGCAGAGCAGCGATGTGCAAATATTAATATCTGGAGGATGTTTTCGGTCAAGGGGAATACTGCAACAAGGATTAATTCATATCTTCCACTGGTGACATATGCTATTATTTGTAACCACTTGAAAACATATATGACGGGAAAAGTGAGTACCTTTTTAACGTAAGGCTGGTGAGTGTTAAGTTTCGAACCAATATACAGCATTCTGGAGTGAACAAAATTCAAGAACAACAGTGTACATAAAAAGTAAGAGAAGCATTTCGAGAATAAATTATAGTACATTTATCCAGTATGTCTGTCTGTCTGTCTGTCTGTCTGTAAAATATAGCTCTGCTTGCTACCCGCTTCACGCTGATTTCTTGCTTCGCTCATTCTTCAACCCTGAAGATGGATGCGACGTGTTCCTTCGAAAGTTCGGGTGACTCACTCATGTACTAGCACATTAAAGCACGCCCCATGCACTACCATGGCCATGAAATAGTGTAGAGACATACGACCAACCACACAACAGTTTGCTTACGAACACTAGGAAGATAGGCCTCCGTTGTGTTAACGTACTCATACAAGAAGAGCTTTTAATTAATTTTAACTGATATTATCTATTATCTTAATAACAAAATCTATTTTAATTACATTAGCATTTCCGTCTGCTCTCGAATTCTGACGGCAGGAATCCCTTTGTGGCAGCCTGTTTTTATCACACGTGTATAGTTTTTCTTTCGTACTGTTGACTATGCCTACTGATGATGGCCAGTACTAATATAAGGCTAAAAGACTTTATTTTATATTAAGTTGTCGCACTTGGTGGACCTTGCTACTCATTCTCTCTTTGTATTTAGATTTTCTATTCAAGTTGTTGACTCTTGATCAAGAATATTGAAGAAAATACGTGAGTCCAAGACAGAAGACGTAACATGTGGATGGATATTGCCACTTAAGAACTTCGGATTCTCCAAATGTTACATTACTTTGATTAAATCAAGCAGGCTGGCATGTAGCACGCATCATTACGCATTGGGGAGGTGAGAATTCCTAGCCAGATGTTAGTCTGACATGCTAAAGTGAAGTAAAGACTGAGTGGATATAGGCGTGTGTGGAAGGCATATGTTGTGACGATGACCGAATTCCGGAATAGTGAAATGGGAACAGACGTTCATTGCTAGGCAGTAATCAGTAAACACATTCCTGCGGCAACGAATTAGCAAGAAACAATCGGGTAACTTCCGTTGACATGCAACGGCGTTTAAATACACGTTCCCAACAATAGAGGGGATGTGTTTTCTGCGTGGACAGTGCGAAGTAGTTATAAACAATAGTTCAGTTGAGAAGAGTTAGTTGAGCTTCGAGACGCCAGCCTGCCGGGATATGAACTTGGGAGCAGAGGAATTGAATTGAGTCGAGTGCAGAATAATGGCAAGAAGAGAAGACTTCATGTGTAATTTGAAGTGACAGTGAGACTCTTATAAATCCGTTGCCAGGATGTAGCTAGTGAAAATTGAGGACCCTAATGCGCGTGCAACGGTGAACTGAAAATGTGTAGAATAGCGACAGCGCTGTATTGCCCGTAATACCGAATTTTGTGAATAAGGTGTCAATAAATCCGATCATCCAATCCAGACCCGTCTTATATGTCACGCACAACCCCTACAGGTGACAGTAATCAACTGGATCTTAAAGTAATTGTGCATGAGAATTTTGGACTGGATTCAAGTGGCAATGAATGGCGGGAGACTTCTTAAACGGTGCAACATGAGGTTCTCAGGAAACTTGTTTCGGCAGCGGTAATGAAACGAAGGGATAATTTTTACAGAAAAGTGGAAAAGATTGTTGAGGAAGCAGTGACCTTCTTACTGGCTACACTGACCGATGGAACGTAAAGATAAAGCTCAGTCATGGCTTCCCATGCTTCAGCGTAGGCTAAGGCATCTTTTGAATAGAAGTAATGCGCTTTGCCTCAACTCGACCGAGATCTGTAGATCAGAGGGTGTGGACTAAGCACATGTGGCTCAGCATATGCGCCAGTGGCGGCCTCTTATGAAAATTCAATTAATCTTCAGGTTGGAAATCTCTTGAGTAACTGAGCGACCACTAGCTTATCAAGGACTCGACTCAATGGAGATATCGTAGTTGTTTAAGCGATACATTTTGATTTGGTACCCACATAAGTTGGTAATTGTGTTAGCTCAACACATACCAAAGTACCTCGTGACAAATTTTAGTAAGAACCGTATTGAAAAACTTAATCAGAATCTGTTTCTTGATACACACGAGGCAGAGGCAGAGGCAGTAAGTAGGTAAAAATGGAACTAGAAGAGCTGTAATGAATTTTCTGCGTGTGTCACTACGTAGAAGCACAGTCCAGCTTCGTGACAGTCTAGGTAGCACTCTTGTTCAGAGGCAAGTTTCAGTAGTCAAAACGGCGACCGTGCTTGAGGAGAATATTAACGAAGACCAGCGTTCTTTTGGGCGTTTTTGGGGGGAAAAAGGACTCAATATAAAGGTATTCATAAAGAAAATTTCCTGTTTACCTGTGTATCTCAAATATAAAATCCTTTCGTTGCTGTTCTCCATTTCTCAGTTTCTGGTCCGGCCGGATGGAAGTCATAGCGGGTTTGAAGTAAAAAAGAGATCTAATTAAACAGAAGTTCCTTGTTTAGCAACTATTTAATACATATCCACAGGCAATCTATATCTATCGCAATTCTATAGCCTACTTTCCTTGTGCTAAAACAAGGATGCTTACGAGATCACCTTGCAGTCTGTGTGTCGATGTAACCGCCCTATAATTGCTAGACAACAGCTTGGTGTACACTTCCCACGACAATGAATACACACAACAAAGTAACTGTTGGACGCGGTGTTTTCTATGCAGTACGCATCATATCAGATAATATACAGTAAAGGATAGTGAGCGATTATTTATTTTGTAACCGTTTAATGCATAAAGCTACCACAGTGCTTAGGCATGGCAGTAAATGATAGTTGGACAAAGAGAATAATATAGTCAAGTGATTTTATTATTTTGGTGCAGTTCATTTTGAGAGAATCCCAACGAAGAAGAAGCATTTTCGCTATTGTTACACGACTCACGGTAATGCCAATTCTGAACTGATCACTCACTACGCACTGTTCATGTTCCAGCCTTACTGAATAACATTAATACACGTAATTCTCCAATTGCATGTAGCGTCCCATTGTAAGGACTCACACTAGAAATTATACTCACTACTATCTTAAGAGCTGCCATCTTCTGCGGCTGGTTGACGGTCAGCTTTAACACAGCTCACCTCGACTCTGTCTCTTGTCTCTCCGGGACACCTTCGCTAACTCATCACTTTATAAAGGAGTGAAATGTCCCCACCCTTACGTGAGAAGGCAATAAGAGTGTGTGACTTATTCGATCCCCTCCTTACGACAAAATATAGTGCAGTTCAGGTGAGAGTGTTCAGTTCATGTGTGTAAGAGAAGTCACGTGAACACGTGATGGTACCAAATGATGGCGAGAGAGAGTGGAGTGACCACAAGGTGGACATGCACTCCCGGCTTCCGGATACTCCCTCTCATTTTCCTACAAACCTGTGTTTTCAACAAAAATGTCTCCATAGGAAGTAGGAAGTCAGAAAGCGAAGCAATCAGACCTAGAATAAACGGTGAAGCGGACCTTACGCCATGCTTCAGTAACAAGGTAAATGGAACAGTTATAGCAACAGAGAAGTACGCGTCTTCTGTAGTTAAAGGAGTATTTATGGACTTCAACTGAATTCTGTATCAGTAGCGAAGGATATGCTACGAAAATTTCGTAGCTAAAATTTAAACTTTAAACATGCTTTAAATGCATGTGAAAATTTGTCATCCTAAGAATACAACGTAGATTAATGGAGGGTCGAATGTCTGGATTTTATGAACAGGATAATGAATATTTGTGTGCTGCAAAAGAAATTAATTTCTTGACGATTTGATAACCATAAGTTTTAAAGGAAATATTGTACATTATGATTGGTTATTTATTTTGTTTAGCTTAGTTATGTCGGTTCTTGTAAAGAAAATTATGTAATGTGGTGTTTAGAATGTGTTATTTTCATCATACATGATTAGTGTGATGATATTAAGTAGGATAAGAAGGCTGGGGATGTAGTCATTCATGGGAGTGAAAAACGTACATATATTTTTTATCGAAGAACCTCAAGGAAAAAGTCCTAAGCGTTGATGGAAAATAATATGAGTATTTAGGATGTGCAAGTCTGAGCAGGACTCATCTCTCTCAGAATTCAGGGTTTTATGGTGTTTTGAATTTCACAACAGCAAGAAATTTCTTGACTAAATGTCTATCATCTTCTTAAGGGACCACGTGTATAGTGGGACAGATTATTTGTTTGCTTGTCATTTCGTTAACTTGTTATGCCGGATATTTCTATAAAAAAACAATAAATATCAAGTCATCTGTATGGTCTGTTAAGTGCATGTTCATAAATTCGAATAAGTTTTCTGGTATTTACATGTTTCTTTTAAATCTATGAACGCAGAACTGAGTTCTTTTTGAATCTAAGCGTTACTCTTACATATGTTGCATAAACTTCTAAATAACTTTTATTGAACCTGTTCTATCTTATGAGCATGAAACGAATCATTTCTCTTCCTGCGTGCTGGAATTTCACTTAGTACTTAAGATGTAGTGCGCATCCTAAGATAGTTATTAGTAATAGAGGTAGATTTCGCTTCTTCATTGGCATCATTGTCCGCTAGCGACCAAGGTACACTTTCTATTGTGAAATTCAAGGAAATACATCGAACGCTAACAAACTCGTGTTTGAAGCCTTGGGAATAGTACTCATATTAGTGAAACCTAGAAACGTCTTACCTTCGTGCACGGATGCAATGTTTTATGTTACTTTTCCTCTCGTTGTTTGCATTGTGTCCGTTAAAATCTTGGTCATAATTACAGAAATTAGAATCACAGAAAGAACATTTTTGGCATACATCTCTTCTCCTTGCCCTAAGGTGACAAAAAGAAAACTTTTGTCGCTTGGAACTTGGAACATGTGATCTGTCTACCCAATATGTATTTTGTCCACAGATGTATGTTCAGTACATTCGTAACACATAGCTAGCCTGCTTCTCTTAAGGACGTTCTCTTCGTCCACACATTGAGGATGCAGCTGTGCTGTTGTGGAAACACATTCACAATTCTTTTATTTTCATTGGACTTCAGTATTTTCATCTCATGCCTCATGAAGCAAAGATAAAGTTATCCCTGTGTTTTATTAATTAAGCACTACGCCATGAAGACGTATCGGGGTGTCGGGGTGTAGCTCCACTTTTCTTGACCTCGGTAGTAGATGGATGTGAGTGGTCAATTTCGCGAACCCGGCTGCTTTATCCCAGAGGAAAGGGGCCTCAGCACCCAATGGTTAGGAGACTGGGTGGCCTCAGAGCCGGTCTGGATGCTGTGGTGTAAGAAAAAGTCGTGCCCCTTCCTGGAATCACGAGAAATTTATAAATAATGCCATTTGCAGGAATTACTATGCAACTTATGCTGTATTAATATTTTGCTAGAGAATATTAAATACGAAGTAAACGGTTTCCGATTGAACTCTACTCAGATTCTGCAATAAATATTCAATAGTTTTTAACAAGAGGCTGTTTGATGACAATGTAAAAGCTATCATCAACACTTTGGTGTGTAACGCTTTTTCTGAAAAGGCCGCGCCATAGCTCAAGCGGTTAGTCGCTGGCTTCCAATCGCGGCGGCCCGGGTTCGATCCTGGGTCTGGTCAAGTGGGATTTATGGTGAACAAAGTGGCGCTGGGGCAGGTTTTCTCCGAGTAATTCGGTTTCCCCTGCCAATCTTCATTCCACCAATTGTTCCGCAATCACCCTCACCTATCATCTGGGGCTGGTACAATAGGCCAGAAGTGGCCGCAGTACAAGGGACTTAGTCCCATCCCACTAGCCATAAAAATAAAAAACTTGTCCTGACATAAGTTGGCCACAATCTTCCTCGCACACAAACACAAAGTATAACGTATAACTAGGCTGAATTCATGAATTAATGTTGAAGAATGTGTTCCGTAAAGAAGAGAGAAGAAATCCCGGAATATGAAATGAATCTTCCAACGTTGTGTTTGCCGCTCTTCAACGGTTTGTTCTTCTTTTCTTTTTCTTCCTCTTTAGCACTTCTGCCTTCATATTCGGGAGGTCTCAATATCGAATCTTGGCCCGACAACTACTCATTCTGACATGTCTTTTCGTGATTTTCCTCATTTTCTCGAAGCATCTCCAAATATTTATAGATCACTAGCGCTTCCCTCCACACATTTCTAGGTTTGTCATTCACACTCTCCTTACCATGTCATTCTACAGGGCTGTAACCTCTGTAGTTAAGGTTTCTAGAACGATGTTTTGGGCATCCCAGCGCTCTCTCATATGTACTTCACATGTGAGCAAGTAAAAATCGTTATCAAATAAAGGGAGAATCTATCAGATACACATAGACTTTGTGTCTGGTCCAAGTCTAAAATCGTTTGGAAAATTCTGACGTCTTAATATGCAGCACACCATAATCTTTTGTTTGATTTGGTTACTTTATAACTCTCTGTCAACTGTGATAACTTACCAATTGTCAATAGATTTTCCGTCAAGTGCACAATATATATTTTGGTCACTTATTTATCTCATCTGCCTTTTTTTACATGTTTCGGTTCGAAGGAACCATCTTCAGAGGCACTTACAACAAATCATGAAAACACTGGCACAGCTCAACATCCACAGTATGTAGTTATTTATGGAAAATATTACATATATCGGAGTGTAAAGCACAACACTTCCCAGTATCTTGAATGCAGGTATAGCACTTGCATCTAAAAAAACCACCCTCAAACCGAGTCGTCAACGTTAAAATTTAAAGTTAAAAATTAAAAAACGTTCAAGTAAAATATTCAGGCTCCTTCTTGGTGAGGCAGATGAGATAAATAAGTGACCAAAATATATATTGTTGCACTTGACGGAAAATCTATTGACAATTGGTGATTGATAGTGTAACGGACCAAAATGAAACAATTCAAAATGTGATAACTTATTTATGAAGGCATGTGATTAGGTGGAGTGTTTCTGGTTATTCAAGTCATTCTTCAGCAAGAGAACCAGAAGAGAAAATATCCTGCCTGTAGGACTGTACGTCCATCTTACAAAACTGATGTGTTTCATGGTTGAAACTTAACCTTTATATTGCACTGCCAAAACAATGGGAAATAAATATAAGGAAAAGAAAGGAAAACAAACGAAGGACAGGAAATAAAATCACAAGGAAATGGAAGAAAGGAGAGGGAAGACAAGGGAGGAAGAAGAACTGGATGGAGAGGAAAGGAAAACATATTGATACTGTGGGAAGAATAGCAACAATTATGAATGGGAAGTGAGGGAGAAATAGGAGACGAAATCACGAATCGTCGCAACTTGCTTTCCCGACGAGTGGGGCGGTTGTCTTGCCTGTCTCCATACGCTCCAGACCGTGTGAAGATGAGATGCGCTGACATTTGCAAAGATTCTTCTGACGCAATAGTTAGTTCTCGGAATGTAACTCAACGCGGGGCTAGCACGTCTATGATGCGTTACTCATTTTCTCAGCTTGTTCACTCTTCACTTCCTGCCTTCACACTCGTGAAAATTCTCTTTTTTTCAAGATTTCAGTTTGTTGTGTTGGCAGCTCACATCCGAAGTATTAGTTTCGTCCACTTTTAGTTCTTCATAGTAACTGTACTCCTGCTACGGAATCACGGCGCCTTCAAATTCGTTTACCGGTTCTTCTTATTCTTCTTCTTCTTTTATTCCCGTTGCTCCCATTTGGACCATAGGACATCCGTGACACATCTCGTTTCACTTCAGTTTCTTGATCTAAGAAAGTCGGTAAGACTCCTTGGATGGGGGATCAGCCCGTCGCAAGACCTCTACCTAACACAAACAGAATAAACACGAACAGACATCCATGTTTGAAAGGGATTAGAACCCACGACCCATGTGTTCGAGAGGGCGAAAACATTTCATGCTTTAGGTAACGTCCTATGCAGTAGATCTCACTTCGAACCACGTCCCTGTTAACGATATGATAGGTTTTCGCAGTTTTCCTCAGTTCTCCTAGGATAATAACAGCCCTTCTCTCAAAATTCTTATCAAGTCGCCATTAATAAACATTATACCGTTTAATTTGATGTTATGTAGCTTCTCAATGCGAATCATGGTTGCTAAATAACCTACGAATGTACCAGTATAAGTAATTGTAATCAAGGGTGGACCTATACGATACAATAAGCTTACGT